GGAGCCCGATGTGGGACTCGATCCCGGGACTCCAGGATCATGACCTGAGCCGAAGGCAGTCGCTTAACCAACTGAGCCACCCAGGCGCCCGAATAAATAGAATCTTTAAAAAAAAAATAAACTGGCAGTAAAGGAAGGAATAAGAGGCCTCCATTTCCATCTGGACCATAGTTCAGGGTGGATGCGTATTATTTTCCATCAGCCATTTGATAAAAAATGGTACTGAAAGTAAAATCCTGATCCTGGGGCACCTGGATGGCTCAGTTGGTTAAGCATCCAACTCTTGATCTCAGCTCAGGTCTTGATCTCAGGGTCGTGAGTTCAAGACCCACACTGGGCTCCATGCTGGGCGTGGAGCCTACATTAAAAAAAAAAAACATCCTGCCAAATTATGAAAAAAATAATTACAACAAATAAACATTTTTACTGATTTGCTTCATTTGAAATCTTCTCATGGCTTAGAAGCATGTAACACATTTTGTTCCTAGGACTTTGTCCAGGAGTATACCTTATAATATAGGCGAAGTTATTCCTACAAAGATGTTCACTGCCTTTTTTGTGAGGGTTGGGGGGAAGTAATATAAAAGAAATCAGAAACAAATTAAATATCCAAATATAATCAAATGTCTTAAGTTAATTCTATTCACTAAAATCCTATTCCATGACTAAAAATGATGCTGTAGAAAAAATACTTAATGGCATGAAAGCATGTCCAAAATACATAATTGAGAAAAGGCAGGCCACAAAATCATAGAATCGCATTTTCATTTAAACAAACGTATGTACGCACACAGAAAGATGAAAATGTTGGCAATGGTCATGCCTGGGTCTATCCACGACTTTAACTTTTCCTTTTGTTATCTGTTGGCTCCAACATTTTAAAATAAACTTGTATTTTTAATTTAGAAAATTAAATAGAAATTAGTTGTGTAAAAACATAAGAGGGGTCTGTGCACACATCCTTCTCACTTAAAATACACCCTACCATCTCCCCGCACTGACAGGAATGCATTCCAAGTACATTTTCCACCCAAACCACCAGGACCTCAATTTCATGCGCCCACACCAACAGCCATCGCTGCTACCTTTGTGCCTCGGGTGTTTTGAGAATGGAGCTGCCTCGTTCCCTCCTCCTTGCCCCTGGGCAGTTCCTACCTCGCAGCAGGGAACCGGGAACACTGGATGGCAGGTAGTGAGCCAGGCAGCTGAAGGCCACGTCCGCAAGGGGGTCACCTAAGGTAGAGAGCTCCCAGTCAAGGACAGCAAGTACCTCAGCCTTCTCTGGATGGAACAGCAGGTTGTCCAACCTGAATAAGCCACAGAAAGAATGAAGAGACAGCTCTAAGGAAAACTGAGCACTGGGGCGTGTTCTGTGCTGGGTGTCTTCCATTTGCCCCTCCAAATGCACTCCGCACCCTCTTAGCCCCTTGGTGCCCCTGTCCACGAGCTCCCCTGCCCTCTGGCTCCAGTGGGCTCAGCCAATGAGGACACCAGCAGGAGACGGGGAAGGGGGCAGATGGCTGAGGGACACTGTATTGCTCTCCCAGGGGCCAGTTTTGGTCAGGGAGCCAGCCCTCTCCACATAGCGATCCTCTCTGGGTTCTGGTAATCCCTCCTTCCCTGTGATGGGTTTAAAACAGGTTTGCAAGTTCTTGGACACTCCTTCCACAAAAGGAAGAGTCTAAGTCTTTGCTGCTTGAAGCAGTTGGCTTCTAACAATTATAACACAGGTGGAAGTGATGCTAAGTGACTCCAGAGCCTCGCTCAGAAAAGGGCATCAGCTCCCAAACAGCGCTCTCTTGGAACATACACCTTTGCAGCTCTGAGCCCCCAGGGAAGCAGTCCAGATACCCAGAAGCTGCTATGCTGGAGAGACCATGTGGGGACCACAAAGAGACAGAGAGAGGCCCAAGGAGCCCAGCTGTTCAGTCTTCTCTGCCCCAGGGCCAGGCACAGGAGCAACCCTCCAGGAGATCCCAGTGCCCAGCCTGACAGCCACCCGAGCTGAAACAAGTGATCCTGTCCCCAGACCGCAGATTCATGAGCAGAACAACTTCTGTCGTCGTTTGCAGCCGTGCGATTTGGGAGATTTTTATGTGGTCATAGTAGCTGGAGCACCTGTGTGCACTTTCAAACCTGGGGGCAATAGGACAGCCCCCAGGCATAACGAATTATCTGGCCCCAAATGTCAACAGGCCAAGGTGGAGAGACCCTGCCTTAGAAGGTCATGCACACGTAGATCCTTTGTAAAGGGAATCCTCCTCAACTGTAAATTGGGCTCAGGCCAGCTGCTTAATTTCCTCTTCAACTGCCCTGGTCATCATTTTTCACATCTAGATATCCACCCCTCCTCATAGTCGTGCCTACCTGAAGTCCCCATGCACCACCGTCGTATTCTGTCGCCTGGGAAGATGGTGGGGCAGCCACTGGATAAGCCTCTCCATCGCGGGGATGGTGCTGGTTTCTGAGGCTCGATACTGCTGAATCCAGGTTTGCACCTGCCGTGGAATATAGTCCCCTGAGGGAAAGAGAATTCAAACAGGTATGCCACTCTAACATCCTCCAAAGGTTCCAGAAAGTAACCAAAACAGTGAAAGCCCTGATAATGCTCTTCTGATGACCTATGAGTTTCTCACAGGATGCTCCCGCCACCATGGCTGGATCAGTGTGATGCGGGTGTTGTTCCCAGCCACAAGGCCCGAAAACCTGATCCCTGGCCCTCTCAGACTTCCTACAAGCTTCCTAGCAGCCTTTAAGAAATCCCGTTTTGGCTGAACAACAGTGGTTGGCTAAACGCATGGACTCTGGGACCAAACTGCCTGGGTGTGATTCCCAGTTCTGCCATTCTCTATCTTTGTGATCTCTGACAGGTCACTTAACATCTCTGTACCTCGATTTTTCTTCATCAATGAGATGCTCCTCAGAGAGTTGTTGGGAGGATAAAATATGTAAAGCCCCTGGAGATGTTCCTGGCATGTAGTAAGTACTACATGAGCATTTGTATCATTATTCAGTTGTTTGCTAAGAAACCCAAGAGATACCACCGTTGAGAAACTTTTGAGTTATATCTGGGACGGGACACTGGAAGAAGTTCTGAAGTCAACTTGGCTCAGTCAGGGTCTTCAGTTGATTTAACCTCTCCGAGCCTCCCTTGCTTCTTTTGTATGAATGTACTGACACCTAAATTCCATAGGACTGTTGTGAAGGCTAACCAAAATCCATACGTAACAGGCCAAATACTGAGCTGCACAGACAGCCGCTCAATGAATGGTGGCCATTATGTCCTGATTATTGTCAACTGACAATTATTGTCACTGTTAATATAATTAATAAACATGTCAGCTCCCTGGCTCTAAGCCAAGCCTCCATCCCTCAGCTGAGAGAAAAATGGGCCCCAGAGGCTGAAGGGTTTGAAGACAAGATTAGAGAGATCAAGCTCCTTCTGTGGAGTCCACTGCACAGCTAGAACGTCTAGACACCTGTCCTTTGCAAGATCTAGTTGGGCCATGAGCAGTGGAGGTCAAAGTCCACAGGAATGTAATCCAAAACAAATCAAGCCTTTAGACGTAATTTCTAGTTTTCAGAATTATAGGAAACAGAAGACAGAAGTAAATGAAACCATAGGAAATAATCAAGACAAATATATAAACAACTGACTTGGTCTGTTAAAAAATTCATTGAAAAAAACAGGTCGTGCAGGGACTGTTCTAGATTCATTGATCAGATCCTGATTTATCGGGGGAAAAAATTCATTTATAAAAGATATAAGGGGAGGGGCACCTGGGTGGCTCAGTCAGTTAAGCATCTGACTCTTGATTTTGGCTCAGGTCATGATCTCAGGATCCTGAGATTAAGCCCCACATCGGGCTCCACACTCAGCGTGGAGTCTACTTGAGATTCTCTCCCTCTGCCCCTCCCCACCACTCTCTCTCACTCTCTCTCTCTAAAATAAATAAATCTTTTTAAAAAAAGATATAACAGGATAACTGATGAAATGGATCTGAATATGGACTGGGTTTTAGATATTCAGGGAAAATTGTAAATTTTCTTGGATGCAATAATGGTATGGGGGAATGTCCTTATTTTTAGGAAGCGCCTACTGAAGTATTTAGGAGTCAAGTGTTAGGGTCTCTACAACTTTGTTAAATATATATTATTGTTAAATACATATATATATTATTATATATTTAAACACATATATATATTTAAAGAGAGAGAGAAACAGAGGGAGAGGGAAAGAGAGAAGCGAATATGGCAAAAGTTAACCATATAGTAGTGGGCATATATAGTTATTCATTGTACTATTTCACATTTCTGTAAGTTTGACAATTATTATAATAGTAAGTCAAATCCAAAAACCACAGGAGCTGAGCCAGGGAGCCTGGGTGGCTCAGTTGGTTAAATGTATGACTCCTGGTTTTGACTTAGGTCATGATCTCAGGGTCGTGGGATCGAGCCTTGCCTGGAGATCCACGGTCAGTGAGGAGTCTGCTTAAGGATTCTGTCTCCCTCTGCCCCTCCCCCAGCTCACATGCACACATGCACACTCTCTCTCTCTGTCAAAATAAAGAAATCTTTAAAAAAAAAAAAACATACAGAGGAGTTGAGCCTTTGTGAAAGGAGCCTTTCAGGAAAATCTATATGGATTTGGGACCTTCCACCCCAAACACACCAACTAGCGCTACACACATTCCTTTCTCACGGGAAACAGACACAGCTGCCCCTGTGTCTCTGGCTCTGTTGGCCACTGGTCTCTATCAGGCCCACCAAGGCACCGAAACATCCTTCCTCCAGCAGACTGCCCCTCTGGGATAAGAAAAGAGGATTATGTGCTCCCTGCAGGTCATTGGTGGTAGAAAGGTTCTTTATGGTAACTGGACTGTACCTAAAGGATCTTTGTCAAAAGTCCCTCTTAATTAGAAATCATGTTTGTGTGCAGTCTCTCTTTTTTTTTTTAATAAATGTAAATGTGTACTCTTGAATAGATAATACATTCCCATGGCTTGGCATAAAGTGACAGAAGGATGTACAGTAGTCTTTCTCCCACCCTCTGCCCAGCCACTCAGCTCTTCTTACCCAAAGGCAACCCATGTGACCAGTTTCTTGGAGATATTCACTTGTGCAAGCAAATATTTAAATGTATCTGAATATGTAAATTTATTTAAATATGCCACCCTTTGCACAAAGGTAGTAGCTATTTATAGCCAATGCCCTGCCCAGCAGCTGGATTCCTGACACCACCAGAGAAATTGGAGGTTTCTTGAAAAGGAAGATCTGATGCCTCTGTAGCTGGATCAGTGAACGTGAAGCATGATGAAGCTGCTGTATGCTATTAGGCTCAAAACACGGCCAGTGGCCCTTGGGTCACATGAAATCACATCAGATTTCTGCTCTGCCTCTTTGTCCTAAGAGGTCAGTGGAAAGAGCATCAAAACAGTCTACTTTAAAAATAAAAGGCAAAGGATCCACTCAGACAGCACATGGGAGGGACTTCCATAAGCTGTTGTCTCTCCAGGACAGGATGTCACACTGCCCATCACTGCATCTGCCTGAGGCTTCATCTTCATTCAAAGCACTGGGGTAGCCATGGCAGCAAAGGACAGTTTTTTTAACCCAACCTTTACTATTGAGAAAACGATGACAAAGTAAGGTGACTTGCCCAAGGTCCCTGACAAATTAGCATCCAACTTCTGCTCCAGTGCTCTTTCCATCTTGAAACAATGGATCAATATGGACAGCATGTGTTGTCTTTGCCTACTGGCCTTTTTACTGGTGACTAGGTCTGCCAGATAAAATACAGGATACCCAGTTAAATGTGAATTTCAGATAAACAACAAATAAGTTTTTATTTCCAAATGAGGTGGAGGTTACTACTAGAGTTGGTATCTCTAGTCAACAGGTTAGAAGATGGAGGGGGGGCTGGCATGGATCTGGCTGTACTTAAAGGGATGGGGAGAACCCCCTCAGTTTGGGCTGGGAAGTCAGCAAGCTTTCTCTGTGGTAGCAAAGTGTTTCAAACTGATTACTTGTGGGGACTCAGCTAATGTGCCTGTGGAGAGGTGGGGCTTTAGGTGACTTGGCAGAAATGGCAGGAAGGTGATGTACACAGGAGACATACTACAGCCTCTGATGTGGTCCTACGGAAAACACATTTTGGTTAAAAGCAGAGAAAGAAAAAAACACAGCTTAGCTGGGGGATTCTTTTTGACTATAGCCAAGAATACATACTGGTCAAGACTCTTGAGCTTTGCAGGGCAGAAAAAGTGAAATTCTTTGGCTCATGCTAAAGTTTGTGCATGGAGACAACTGGTGATGGTGGTTTTAAAATTGTGTGTGTCTGTCACATTTATAGACTGCTACACTTCAATACACCTGACTTAGAAAGAAAGAAAGAAAGAACGAACGAACTGACACTAACAATGAGGATGAAGAACAACTGGAACTCTCAGACAGTAAAAAAACAAGCAGAAACAAAACTCTACAAACAAAATACCTTGGCATAATGGCATTTTAAAAGTCTATCCCCTGTTGAAAGAATATTTAGGGGAAAGAGTAAAAAACAGAAGAAGGTATCTTAAATACTCTTGGCCAGTACCAGAAAAAATAAAGACTGAAATGGTCCAGCAAGATCAAAGTTGTAGGGAAGAGAGATTCTGTAGGCCGTGAAGGGACGTATCCAAGGATAATATATCTAGGTAAATGACACCTCCATTTAAATGAAACTAGATTTCCAAGTAGGGGGCTAAGAAGCCCACCTCACATTTAGCAAACGCTAGGTGCATTAACACCCTGCCATGATGCAAATCCTGAAAACAGGGGCACCAATGAGGAACTCATCAGCACAAAAGACAAATGGCCTCTTGCTCACCGTGTTTCCCATAGTCTTCTAGGCCTGCAGCCTTGAGGTCCACACTGTGAATTTTGCACAAGACTCTGTTCATGGCAGTGTATATGGCCCACCTCTGGCTGGGCTCCAAGCCTGGCAGAAAGGGGTCTCTGTAGATGAGGCCTGGGCAGTATTCCATCACATAGAAGGGAGTGCCAATGACCCTGGGAAGGACACAGACAGGGGGTTTCAGTGGTCCAGCTCATAATATGGCAGGCTGTTAGTTATGGCATTGCTTTTTTTTTTTTTTAGATTATTTATTTTAGAGAGCGTGTGCACATGAGAGAGAAGGGGGAGGGGCAGAGGGAGAGAGAGAGAGAGAGAGAATCCTCAAGCAGACTCCTCACTGAGTGTGGAGCCCAATGTGGGGCTCCATCCCAGGACCCTGAGATCATGACCTGAGCTGAAAAGAGCCAGCCGCTCAACAGACTGGGCCACTCAGGTGCCCCAGCATTGCTCTTTCTATGTGTTTGCTCCAAGTGCTGGGGAAGGAGTTCAGACCCAGAGTGCTGGACATTTCCTTTCCTTCATACATCAGCACAGAGGGTTAGAAGTACCCCATCCCCAAACCAATCCACACACACAGCCCTGTCTATACATTTTTGCCAGCATGTTTCTCTTCTGTTTGGTCCACTCGTGGAAGCCACGGGGATGGAGATTAAGTGCGATAATGGAGGAAAGCAGCATGTTGAGAGGGGGAATTCGGAGCCATACAGAACCAGGTTTAAATCCCATCTCTGCCCCTTCCTAGCAGTGTGATCATGAGAGACTTACTAACCCTCTCTGGGCTTTGTTGTTTTAATCTGTAAAACTTCAAAGGGATGTTGTAAGAATTAGGGGAGCAAATACACATGGACTGCCTGGTTCCAATGAGGCTTCAATAAATATCCCTTCTTCTCATTGATGTTATTTCTATCATTATCTGGTAGTGTGAGTGACACATATACCACCCTGTAATATTAAGGTGACACACCAAAATGTCATTAATCCATTCTTTAGTCATTACTAGAAACCAGTTTCCTATTCTAAAAAGTTGTTTTAAAAAGGCTACCATTAAAACTGTTTATCCTGGGGCACCTGGGTGGCTCAGTCATTAAGTGTCTGCCTTCGGCTCAGTCGTTAAGTGTCTGCCTTCGGCTCAGGTCATGATCCCAGGGTCCTGGGATCGAGCCCCAAGTCAGGCTCCCTGCTCGGCGGGAAGCCTGCTTCTGCCTCTCCCACTCCCCCTGCTTGTGTTCCCTCTCTCGCTGTCTCTCTCTGTCAAATAAATAAATAAAATCTTAAAAAAAAAGGACCACAATAAAAAATTAACAAAAACAAGCAACATGAAACTAGATGGATATAAATTTTTTAAAAGATAAAAAAATGTTTTCTACCAATTTTCACAAAAGCAGGCATTTCTTTATCTTTCAGGATAACTTAAAGTTCTGTGAACTTCCAGGGGAGGTTGCTATAAAATCTCTGTTCTCTCTCACCCAAATTTTATTTGTCTTCACTTTAACAAACTGGGATTTGAGCTACTATATGGGCGTTTCTCTTCTGTAGTTTGAATATGTAATGAAAGAAATAAATCTGAACATTACCCTGAATCTTCACAGAGGCCAAGAACTTTGGGGACAGGCACTCCAGCATTGGCAAGGGCTTTCATTATCCTGCTGGAACAAAGAGAAATGAGCAACAGTGCTGGCTGAATTGATGAGATTTTCTTGAAACTATTTTTCTGAATTAAAATCAGTACTTGCAGAAATTAAAACAGAATTCTAAAAAATATCCAACTGACCCCGAAATAGGCAAGAAAAACAAAAAACAGATGGGAAAAACAAAAAACAAATAGCAAAATTATAGAACTAATTCAAACATCAATAGTAACATTACATTAATTAGACTAAACATTTTAATTGAGATAGAGATTGTCATACTGCATAGAAAAGCAAGACCTAACTATATGCTGTCCACAGGAGACATTCTTTTTTTTTTCTTTTTTAAAATTTTATTTTTTTAATTTGAGAGAGAGCATGCATGAGAGAGAGCAGGGAAAGGGGCAGAGGGAGAGAGACAGAGAGAATCCCAAGCAGACTCCGTGCTGAACGTGGAGCCTGACTTGGGGCTCCATCTCATGACCCTGAGATCATGACCTGAGCAGAAATCAAGAGTCAGATGCTTAACTGACTGAGTCACCCAAGGCGCCCCCAAGGAGGAAATTTTTAAATGTTTTAAATAGAAAAGTAACTACTCAGTCATATCACCAGTATTTGGCTCCTGCTTTTGCCTGCCTGGTGTCCCTTTCCCTACTTCATGTTCTGCTAATAATCCCTGGGCTTTCCTTTGGGAAATGGCTCTCTGTAGCTACTGTCAGTCCACATGGTTTGGGTGGAACTGACCCAATCCCTGGTTCCAAGGATGGGCACAAGACCCAGATTCAGCCAATCTGAACAATGCATCCTCCTGACCCCAGACGATTGTTCATATTGGCCCAGTGAGTCAATCTCAGGAGGTATGCTGGACATTCACTAAGGTTATAGAGGAAAAAGGAGTGGAGAGATGGAGGGAGAAAGAGAATGAATGGGTCCTGATATTATTTGGGCCCCTGGATCTAGTCATGCCTGAAAGATTTAAATTATGAAGCCAATACATTTTACCTCTCCTTTTAAAAAACAAAACAAAACACTTCAGTCAGTCTAGGTGGGTTTCTGTCACTTGCAGCTGAAGAACAGTAACATGCTACCCCAACATGGTAAATATTTTGGTGTGTTCCCTTCTAATATTTTTGTTTCGGTGCAGAAGTCTTTTTATTTTATTTTATTTATTT